TCTCTCTCTCTCTTTCTCTCTTTCTCTCTCTCTCTCTCTCTTTCTCTCTTTCTTTCTCTCTCTCTCTCTCTTTCTCTCAGTTGAACCCAAGGATGCTTAAACCATTAAGACACATCCCCAGCCCTTTTTTATTTTGAGACAGGATCTCATTAAGTTGCGGAGGCTGACCTTGAACTTGCAAATCTTTTGTCTGAGCCTCCTGAGCCGCTGAGATTACAGGTGTGCTCCATTGTACCTGGCTGAGTATGGTTCTCCATAAAGCCTGCACCCCTTTCCAGCCTCTTTCACAAAGAACTTGTAAATACTATTTGTCCTCCTGAGTGAGCTGGCTTCTTTTTAGGACAGTCTAGAAATGGTATTGCACAGTCAGAATTCTCTGCAGGCATGGCTTGCTAAGCTCTCCATCCATTTGTATTTAGAACTGACAACTTCAGTCAGATTCAATGATGATTGGCTAACAACAGAGAGAGATTTAGCTCTCAAGGAATGCTTCTTCCCAACTTCAGCTGTTGAAGAAGAGTCCTGCTCTCACACTCAGAGCTTCTGAACAGTTCTCTTTTCCGTCTAGAAATGACACTCCTCTCCTCTCAGTCTTCTTCTCTGGTGGCTCCTTCTGGATCTGTGTCCACTGAAAACCCAGAGCAGAGGATGTTGGAGAAGAGAGCCAAGGTGGTGGAAGAACTTCTTCAGACAGAAAGAGACTATATTCGGGACCTGGAAATGTGCATTGAGCGGATTATGATTCCCCTGCAGCAGGCACAGGTGGGAACTAATGGACATAATTAGCCTGGCTTTGAACATGGTCCTCCAAACCTAAAGCATTAGGATGTGGGAGTTCTCACCATAGATTTATTGGGTTTGAAATAAAGTCTCTGATGGCTGTTGCACTATAATTATAGACTAAGGTGATGGTGGGGAAGGAGTAAAGAGTAGTTTGTATTAGCTTTCCATTGCTGTGACACATTACCTGAGGTAAGCAACTTATAAGGAAGAAGGATTTATTTGGATTCAGTCCCAGAGGTTTCTGTTCTTGATTAGCTGGCTCCATTGCTCTGGGACCTGTGGTGAGACAGAACATCATGGTGGGGAGAGCATGTAGAACAGAGCTGCTCACCTCATGGCAGCCAGGAATCAGAGAGAAGAAAAGAAGGGGCCAGGGTCCCAGGATCCCCTTTAAGGGCATGTCCCCAGTGACCTGACTTCTTTCCACTAAGCCCTCCCTCTTAAAGATCCCCCACATCCCAATAGTGCTACAAGCTAGCAATCAGTCCTTTCAACACATGGCCCTCTTGGGGATACTCTACATCCAAACTGAAGCATAGTTGAATTGAGGATAAAGTGTGTCACTAAAGTTTGGAAGTCTCTGTCCTAGAAACTTTTTGGTGAAAGCAAGTAAAGACTATGACCTGGGCAAATTTTGTGTAATCCTTGAAGAGATGTTCCTAATATTAGTGATATGCCATTAATTTCATTTCCATGCATCTTTATACTTTGTTTCCTTTTCTCAGGTACCAAACATCGATTTTGAAGGGCTTTTTGGAAATATGCCAATGGTGATTAAGGTCTCAAAACAATTATTGGCTGCCCTGGAAATCAGCAATGCTGTAGGTATGAGCTCCTGCCATTGTTTCATCGATGGGAGGTGGGGGGTGGGAAGGGGCCTTCCTGGTGCTAAACATTACGCTAGGAACGTAACATGTTACTTATTTAGTTCAGAGGTTACTTGACTGCTGCTTCTCCTTTAACCTCAGCTTGTTTTGAGGTGGTAAAGTATGTTAGTAATAGAAGTTTTAGATGTCATAGAGTACGGTGTCTTTCAGACTGATGGTTGTGGCCCAGTCATTGTCCAGAACTGAGTCCCAATGTTCCTAAACTGATCACTGGAATGGGCAAGGGGTCATGCTGTTGGGTTAGACTAGGCAGCATTTACCCAACTTACCTGGGGAAAAGTGGATGTGGGAACAAAATGAGGGCTCTGTCCTCCTGAAGGAAGGGGGAAGTGGCTGAGGAATGTGAAGGACAGTGCAACCTTGTTAATGTTTCTTGAGTGTTTATCACACACTCCGCATCTCAAGATTATCACACTGGATCTCAGTTCTCTACTCTTGAGTCTTGTATTACAGATGAGGAAAGTGAAGGAAATCTGCCTGTGTATACATGGCTAGTAATCGATGGGCTGACATTCAGCTCAGGTCTTTGTCTTCCAAGTTCACACCACTAACCTCTGTGTCAGTCATAGAATACAACTGTATGTCTGTCACTTTATAGAGGAGTAAAGAAACGGCAGCCTGAGGCCTTGCTGCTGGAGGCCAGGAAGGTGAGAAAGGAGGAGCCAATGATGAGTTGACTAGAAAGAAGCCACAGTGACCCAGCTTTAATGTAATAATAAAGCATAAGGGCCAATTTATAAGATTTTATAAGTACCTATAATTCATTTATTTGAATTATAAAAGCAATGAGAGGGATTAATTATAATCAAGTAATTACTCATTTTTCTTCCAATTTGTTCTGTTACTTGTTGTTGTGTTCAGCTTTCTACTAGTCCTAGTTAACGAGCTTCCTAGGGTGACTTTTCTCCTTTAGTCCCATTCACATCAAAGATGACTCAAGACTTTACAGTTTATAGCAAATGGTTTGTTCTTACATAGGATGGACAGCAGGAGCAGATTGAGGGCCTGGGCCAGATAGAGTCAGGGGTCAGAGGACCGCCTGACCAAGAGGCCCTCCGTTCAGACCCAGCTGAGCCTGGGGATTCTTCCCCCTTCTTCATACCTATGTTCATGCCAGGTCAGTTGGCAGCTGTTTCTTTCACAAAGGGAGGGTAATCTGTTCTTGTCAGGGCGAATTGAGGTGTAGGTTTGTGAGAGTTGCACCTGCACTGAGGTGGTCTTGCCTCTGGGAAATCCCCAGGCCAGGCTTCATCACACTGCTGGATGACACTTAGTATTTTTTCTTCTTCCCTTCGTTTCTTGTCCTAAGTCAAGCAAAGCTCAGGTGGCAGGTTTAGCTGTGTTGAGGCACAGGGAAAAGTGGTGGAGAATCGTGGAAATTGAATGGCTTAGCAGCCAGGCCAGGGTGACCCTGCCTTACAGAGGGGCTGCAGGCAGGGCACATATGTGTGGGGGGGTGAACACTGCAGTGTAGCTTTGGACTGTCACCCCCAAGGCCAGCCAGTTCCTTCAGTGGGGAATGGTAAAGGACAGGATTTGATCATCTGATAAGTGCAGGATCTGAAAAGGACAAGAAAGGCAAATTAAAGCTTTGTGAAACCATTAGCAAAGGTTTTACAGATTGATATGAATTATATAAGCAATTTTTTAAAAACTTAAGTTTAGTATATTTTTATTTTATTTTTAAGTGCCATTTATGTTAACATGAATCATTCCTTTTTTATTTAAGATATTTTAAAAATTTTTATTATATGAAATATTCTTAATGTCTTGGGCAAATGTGTTTTTACAAACAGGATAAAAATAGAAAACCATAGTTAATTATCAGCATATTTAAAAATATATGGAAAAAAGATTAGAGGTAAATATGGTAAAATAACAAAAGTGGGAAGATCCACAGATGGGAAGGAACTCTGAGCTGTAAGGAGAGCTGGGTGTCAGAGCCTGAATAGGGTGAGGAAAGTGTCCAGGCAGGAGATGGCAGCCAGTGTTCTGTGTGGAGTTCATGGAGGGTGAAGATGGTATGTCAGCATTAGAGATGCTTGACACAAAGTGTCCCAAGTTAAGCAAGGTAAGGAGGGCATCCATCCAGCTGTGACCCAAAGCAGGATGTCAGAGCCTGAGCTGGATGAGGAGAGCATCCCTGCAGAAGGCCCCCTGTGGGTGGGTTGGATCCCAGATGAAATGAGGAGGACCTCCACTCAGAAGGCAGCCCATGGCAGAATTAGAAGTATTCTATTCCCAGTACCTAGCACAAAGCAGGCGCTGTGGTATGAATATGGTTTGTCCCCCAAGATTCCTATGTTGTGAGTTTGGTCCCCAGGGTGATGATGTTGGGAGGTGAGATCTTTAAGAAGTGGGGCCTGAAGATAATCTGAAAGGTTTCAGAGGTTCAGTCCACAGTCAGCCAACTCCGTCGCTCTGGGCCCAGGTTGAGGCAGAACATTGTGGCAAGAGGACTTAACAGAAGAAAGCTGCTTGCTTCACAGCAGCCAGGAAACAGAGAGAGACAGAAATATATTTTTAGTCTAATTTTTATTTTAATACATTTACATAGCACAAAATTAGAAAGGTACAAAAAAAAAAAACCACTTAATGAAAAGCCTCCTCTCTGTTTCCAGCCACCCTGCTCTTCTCAACCAGAAGCCCCCAGTTACTAGTGCCCTTAAGTTTCTTCCCAGAGACGGTTTATCACCTACCATCAGTTGCACATTTTCTCTACCCCAGTTCCTTAGCCCCATTTTTTTCAGCCACACAATGGCAGCACATAATGTAGACTGTCCTCTCTACAGTGTATCTCCCAACAGTTTATGTGACCCAGGCTGTGATTTTAAGTTATTTTAAACATTTTTTTTGGGGGGGGGGTGTTTTACATAATGGCACAGGATACATGTTGTTTTACTATATGTGATGTTTTCTCATGTGTCCTTTTCCATTTTATTTCATTTAAAAAATGCTGATCTTGACCCATTAAGTAGATTTCATGGCCCATTTTTGGATCATGCACCCCTGGAGACTGGAATGTAGCTCTGCTAGTTGGTGGTGATGTACAGTGAACAGAGGGTGTGACTGATATTAGTCACCAGCAAGTGGGAGTTCTCAGATGCTGGTCAGGAATGGGATAGAAGGAAAAATGCAGAGAAAAAGGCAGGGAAATCCAGGATGGTGGGAATGAACACATTGGAGGCTCAGGAATTCAGTTGTTCCAAAGATCAAAAAGTAGCAGCCTCACTCTCACTGCTGTGTCTGCTGAGTGTAGGAGGCGGAACTGAGACTTCAGTTAGACGGGTGGCAGGTGGTGAGGTGGCAGAAAACAATCCAGTTTCTCTTAGAGAAAGGAGCTGTACATCATGGAATAGATTTAACTTAAAGAAACCGATCTTTTCAAGAACAGGGAATTCTGTGGGACACAACACAAGAACAAAAGTGACATTATAGAGAATGGGTTGGGGTCCCCTGAGGGAGGGTTATGCCCAGAGCCATAGTAGGAACAGTCATGGGATGCAGGAAGTAGAATCATATTTGAAGGAGGAGAACAAGGATGAGGTGTTTTCTTGTGGAGCACTACAAGCTGAAGGTAGAAGGACGGAGTATATTGACAGAAGGAACAGGGCAAGAGGAAGAATAATTTTAACAAGCCAGGGAATCAGCACACTCAGGAAGCAGCTATAAAAGAAACTTCTGTGTAGAAGTTTGGTTAGGAAACTATATGCTCTATATGCCTAACTGGCCATGGACCAGGAGCCTGTGAATAGATTTCAGAGTATATGGATTTGGTTAGAAAAAAATTTTTACAAATTTTGAGCTGAAATTTAACATGTATAAAGTGTGAACATAGGAACAACCATGAAGTATTAGCAATATCTGTGACTGTTACCAAGTGAGGTCAGGGGTTTATATCACATTAGATTGTTGCAATTATCTTAAAGTTTCAGTAACACTTAACTAGAAGCAATGTTTCCTGGTTTCTTATGTCACTGAAAGTATGGTGATTGTCATGCTGATTGCTGTTTTTTTGTTTAATGCTGTATAAAGAAGTACATGTGGGGCTGGGGTTTGTGGCTCAGTGGTAGAGCGCTTGCCTAGCATGTGTGAGATACTGGGTTCAATTTTCAGTACCACAAATAAATAAAAAAATAAAATAAAGATCCATTGACAACTAAAAAATATTTAAAAAAAAAAAAAGAAATACATATGTTGTTATACCACAGATTAGGGCTTTTTAAAACATTACAAATATAGTATAGCATAATAAATTGCACTTATCCTATGTTTTTAATTTATGCACAAATAAAAGTCAGAAACCACTGTTGTAGAAGGATTTCTTTGTCCTTGTGCAGATTTTCCTGGAGATTGGAGTGTGAGGGGATTCTTATAGGGTTCTGATCACACGCCCACATGGAGGATGCTTATAAATGCCTTACTATAATTAAATGGACTTCAGGGAATAGCTGTGTGTGGGTTCTAAAAAATAAATACATAAATAAGGTGGTTCTCTACATTTTGCTTGGGCTCAGTGCAGTGGTGCATGTCTATAATCCTAGCTACTTGAGAAGCTGAGGCAGGAGGATCACAAGTTCAAGGCCAGGCTGGGCAACTTAGTGAAACCCCATCTCAAAATAAAATAGAAAGGGCTGAGGATATAACTCAGTGGTAGAGCACTCCTGGGTTTAATCTATAGTTCTGTAAAATGTTAATTCTGCTTTAAATGATTCCAACTTTAAGCAATTACATGGAAATTTATTAATTTGATGGATAGCCTCCTCAAGTCTTATAACAGGATTTAGCTGATGTTAAAATTTGGTTATACACTTTATGATAACGAGAAGAAAGTTACTGACATTGCTGTATGCCTCTATGTACTCCAAAGGACCTGTGTTTCTTGACCACCGGGATGAACTTGAGGGAACATACAAGGTCTACTGCCAGAATCATGATGAGGCCATTTCATTGCTGGAAATCTATGAGAAGGATGAGAAGATCCAGAAGCATCTTCAGAACTCCTTGGCAGATCTCAAGTAGGATTTGACCACTTTGCTTTTATTGTTGTTGTAGCAGTCAGCCTGTATTTGCCCAGACTTCTTATGACACCTGTCTGTCATATCTTAAACAGGATCCATTAAATGACCTGCTTGTCCTTTTCTCATTATATACATGGAAATCCTAAAGGTTTCCTGCTTGTATTTTTGGCCATTTAAACCACTTGTCCTCTGTACCAAGTATTAAGTCAACATTTTGGGTAGGAAGCAGCCAGGAATTAGAGCACTTACCTAGCATACATAAGGCCCAGGGTTCAGTCCCCAGTATTGGGGAAAATAAAGGAAGATGAAGAAAAAGGAAAAGCAGAACTCAAGAAGATAGTTTGGTCCAAATAAACAAGAACGTATAAGAACCAGGTGTGGTAGCATAACCCTGTAATCCCAGGAACAAGGAGGCTAAGGCAGGAGGATTGCAAATTCAAGGACAGTTTCAGCAACTTAGTGAGATCCTATCTCAGAATAAAGAATAAAAAAAGCTGAGGATGTGGAGATGTGGCTCAGTGGTTAGTGTGCATAGGTTCAATGCTCAGTATTAAAAAAAAAAAAACATAAAGAGCATATATGAGAAGACCAAGTATACCTTTTTAGATAAGATTTTCCTGGTCTTAGGCAAGTTATAAATGTACAGATAAATAGATCAAAGTGAAGATAGGGGCTTACTAACTTTAAGAGACTAGATATGCCACCATAGACATTCCTCATTTTCTTTTATCCCATGTAATTTTTTCCCAGTGTGTAGGTAAATTCTAAGAAGAATGAAAAAAATTAATGTCATCTCTCTAATAAGCTCTCTCTCTTTGTCCTCATGCCCCCTGCCCTGTAGGACCCTGTACAGTGAATGGTAAGTGCTCTTGCTACTTGATGTGTGAGCTCATTCTGTTGATTTTTCCTAACCCTTCAAAGGGTGACTTTCTTTTGTTTATTTTTATCTTATTTGTGACAACAGAGTGTATTTTGACATATTTTACAAACATTCATACCTCCCATTCTTGTGGTTGTACATGATGTCAAGTTACACTAATCATGTATTCATATATGAACATAGGAAAGTTATGTCCAATTTACTCTATTGTCTTTTCTATTCCCATCCCCCGCCTTCATTCCCTTTTTCTAATTCAAAGAACTTCTATTCTTCCCTCCTCCCCCTATTGTGTGTTAGCATCTATACATCAGAGAGAACATTTGGCCTTTGGTTTTTGGGGATTGGCTTATTTCTTTAGTTCTGTCCATTTATTGGCAGATGCCATAATTTCATTCTTCTTTATGGCTGAGTAATATCCCATTATGTGTATGTACCACATTTTCTTTATCCATTCATTGGATGAAGGGCACCTAGGTTGGCTTCCATAGCTTAGCTATTGTGAATTGAGCTGCTCTAAACATTGATGTCACTGTAGTAAGCTGATTTTATGATTTTATGTTCTTTATGGATAGAAACCTAGAAGTAGACTTCCCTTGCCATATTTTTTCCATAGCACTTTTTATATTTGTTTGTTTATTGCCTGTCTAATCCCTATATAGCAGGGACTTTTTTGATCACTGTTAAATTCCCAGCACCTAGAAGTGTTTGGTATTTATCAGATGCCCAGTAAGTAATCATAACAAACTTTCAGTTAACAATAGACCATGTATACAATGGTGGACCCATATTGTCTGCGACACAGTCTTAGTCTGTATAAGTGCTCTCTGTAATGTCTGCACAACAACAAAGATCCCTACCAACACATTTCTTAGAATGTGGGCCAGTCATTGAGCAATGTATTTGTTGATGAAGGAAACTGGAAAGCAGAGTAAAGGGACAGAGCCCTATTAAGGAATAACAGAATCCCGAGACAGTGTATTATTGACAACTGACTGAAGTTCTTTTTGCCTTCTTTACAGGGGATGCACCAATTATATTAACCTGGGCTCCTTCCTCATCAAACCAGTACAGAGAGTGATGCGCTACCCGCTGCTGCTAATAGAGCTGCTGAATTCCACTCCAGAATCCCACCCAGATAAAGTGCCTTTAACCAGTGCAGTCCTTGCTGTCAAAGAAATCAACGTTAACATTAATGAATATAAACGTCGAAAGGACCTGGGTAAGAACAGCTTTACTGCTGAAAAGTCGCTTTACTGCTGAAATGTCGGTGTGCCCTGTGAGAATGCCTTCCTTCTTGAAAGAATTACTTCAGGGTTGCACACGGCAGGTGATAGGTGTAATAGGGTTGTGGTAAAGAAAGGGTAGTAGAATTTGGAACAAATGTGGTAGCCGGGGGGAAAAAATAGAGTAATAGTAAGAAAAGCACCTCTGTGGGCCATTGGAAATAAGGTGCCAGTGACAAAGCAGCAAGCAGTGAGAGCCTTGACCCCAGACCAGGCAGACTGGACAGGGCTTGCCCAGGAGAGGTCTGCAGCATGTGCCTTTGCTCTGCTCATTTAGGGCGGTTCTCTTCAATCCCTGCTCAGATTTCTCTACACAGATAATTGGAGGTCTTAACTGCCTCCTGTAAACTTGGGACTTTTTAATCTTCTTTTAGAAAAACCTCAATCTGCCTGCCTCCCGGGGTCCCCTCATTCCTGCCCCTCACGTTCCCTTCTAGCACCTTACCATCAGTTGACCAGACACCTTCCTTCTAGATAGAAGACAATAGATCCAAGTTCATTCCGTGCTATCAATACTGAGGCCCTAATCACCATGCTGCTGTAGCATGGTGATTGCTGGATCGACTTGTTTTCGTATCCTTGGAGAATCCATAATGTAGTGTAACTGCTAACTAGTTACTAGTTTGTGTAACCTCTGCCTATCTACTGCTCTCCACACTTTATCTAAAGTTATCTAAAATTGTTCCCTCTTCTACCTCGGTCACATCAACCATATTCATATGTGATGCTGACTGGCTTTGAGAGCTCCCTGCCATTGAGCCCTTTCTCTTGGTTCTGTCTCCTGATGTAATGTAGTCTTCGTTTTCTACAACAGTATCCTTTCTATTCCCATCCAGTCTTCCCCCTGAAATCCTTCTGTTGGTATCTCTAGGCATTTCTGCAGATCGTGCCTGACATACGACAGTGTTAATCAGGTAACTAATGTATACCATTTAACCATGTGAGACCACTGGATATAAAGATCTCATTTGTATATGAGACTATAATTTAGTGGAATTATAGGGCTCAAAATTGCTATTACTTTCTGCATTTTATTGCAGAGGAAAATGAGGCTCAAAAAAGTGAAACCACCTCCTTAAGGCCATACCTTGGTTAAGTGACAGAGCCAGGCACCAGACTCAGATATTTCCCTGACTCCAGCTTTTGGTTCTTTCCCTTGTCCCTCTACCCCTCTCCTCTTCCTCTTGAGCTCTTCTCCCAGCTGCCCACAGCCTCTCTCTGCTGTTCTTCAGGTATTGAATCTGTTCATAAATGATTATTTGGATTAATATTTTGTCTACTCAGCGGTAAGCTCTTTGACAAACACTAGCTCCAGTTTGAGTTGTTATTTCCATCTTATATTAGTTTTGGGGAAAATGTGCATGTTTTCAGGATGTTAGGTTCATTTAATCAGGCTCAGGAAAGTGCTTTTTTGACTGACCATCTTGACTCGCCCCCTAGTGCTCAAGTATCGGAAGGGTGATGAAGATAGCCTCATGGAGAAAATTTCCAAGCTGAACATCCACTCCATTATCAAGAAATCCAACCGAGTCAGCAGTCACCTGAAGCACCTCACTGGCTTTGCTCCCCAGGTGAGATCCCTGCCCCTGAAGGCACAGTGCATCTGACAGCTTTTCAGGGCTCCATGGGGCAGCCTGCCCTGCTGTCAATGGGTACAGTTCCCTTCTTGCTCCCTCCTCTGGTTTTGTAGCCAGTGGAAGCAGGGCCCCTGCAGCTACTGATGAAGTGAATCCAATCCCTCAACCCTCCATTTGTTCCTTGGTGAGCCACTTACAATAGACATAAAGGCAAATTAGAAGGCTAGATAAGCTGGCATATAATAATTATTGTGGTTTTTAAAGAGTCTAAGGAACCTATAATCTCTCTGGGGAGGCAAATCTAAAATTGTAGACATATTAAGCTACAAAGGATTTAAGAGATCACTTAGTTGGATACCCTATGCTACCAATAAGGACACAAAAGGTAGGAGATTGCATGACTTGAAATGCAGTTTAGCAACAGTGCAGAGAGCAGATCTGAAGTCTCTAATCTTCATTTTATTATATCAAATATTCAGGATGACAATTAGAAGAAAGTATAAGCCAGAAAATATTCAGTTGCTAAGTTTTACACTTAGCCCCCAATGTCAGTAATACTTGGAAAAACGAAAATTTCAACAAGTGAGCTTCTTCTTGGCCCAAAAGTTCATCTGAGCTTTAATGGGAGTGGGCCAGGTTTGACCTAGGGAGAGGACAGGGCCTACAGGCAGGGAGAGCCCCTCAAGAAAAGACCTTGGGTCAGCAGGTGTGGCAGGGCCAGGGGATGGTGAAGAGGGGAGGCTAGAGATAGGAGGGCCCATGTGTATTTTAGAGGTCTTTCAAGCCACACAGAGGTGTTTAAATTCAGTTTAGTATGATTCAGGAGAACATTAAAGTCTTAATATTTAAATGGAAGATGTTCCTAAGAAAGACAATTTTGACAGTAAGATAGACTCAGAGGAGGTCCCAATTTCCTAACAGCACTTGTTTATTTTGAACAGATAAAAGATGAAGTATTTGAAGAAACAGAAAAGAATTTCCGAATGCAAGAAAGATTGATTAAATCTTTTATTCGAGACCTCTCCCTCTACCTCCAGCATATCCGGGTAAGTATCAGCATCACTCTAGTTAGAAATTCTGTCTACTTTCTTGTTCATGGAGCATATTGTTCAATGAAAGTTAAGAAATCTAGACTCACCATTTTGACATGTGTTTTTTTAGTTGTTGATAGCACCATGTATAAATAAATAAAAAATCTAAGAATTGAATCTAGTGCCTCACACTTGCCAGGCAAGTGTGCTACCGCTGAGCCCCAGCCCCAAGATGTGCTTTTCATTGGAATGCCTGTAGGTTATTTAAAAATAATCCAATGTTTACAAGATCAGCATTGTTCAATTAATTTTGTTTACTATTATTGGTACATCATAATTATAAAATAGTAGGATTCTTTACAATATATTCATGTGCACGTAACATTTGGTCAGTTTTATTGCCTGGTACCTCCCCTTTACCTCTTTTCCCTCCCCACTCATCCCTATCCTTTTTTGGTGAAAATTCCCCTTTACCCCTTTTTTACTCTCTAGCTTCCACTTATGAGAGAAAACATAATTTATGACTTCCTGAGTATGGCTTATTTTACTTAACATGGTGTTCTTTAGTTCCATCCATTTTCCTGTAGATGACATGATTTCATTTTTTATGGCTGTATAAAAATGCATTGGGTATATATACAAAATTTTCTTTATCCATCCATATGTTGATGGGCATCTAGGCTGGATCCATAACTCAGCTTTTGTGGATTGTGTTGCTATAAAACATGGCTTCTTAAATTGGTGTCATGTAGAAAGGCCTTTCCTATCCCAAGATCAAAAAATATCTCCTGTGTTTTTATTGTGCCATTATTTTAAGTTTAAATCATTGATCTAGCTGGAATTTATTTTAGTTATAAGGTCTGATGTGGGCATCCAACATTGTTTTCCAGATCTTTCATTTTTTATTGAGTGTGCCCACTGATCTGAAATAACTCCCTTTAGGTTTAAAAAAAATGTAATTAGATCTAAACTAAGGCTTATAAAACTTTCCAGGACACATTAGCTTAAAGTGAAATTTGACAAGAACAATATTAGGGCAGCTACCAAGTATGTTCCCTTGCCTTACAGATTCTTCGGTTATTGCCTAATTTTGATGAGTCTATAGCAAATGCAAGCCTAAACCCCCAACTTAGAAGGCATTTTCATAGTAATGGATGATAATATTTTGAGGTAGAATATGTATAACATTGATAGCCATTCAGTGGACAGCACAATTTGGTTTTGACCACAGTGGCAGAAATTGAAGAGAGAACATATAAAACAATTTTGTCACATAAAATGGAAAGTCTTGCCAAATAATACAATTAGGTAGATTAGCTGATAGAGCGCCTGGAAGAACTAAAATTCATTGACCATATAATTTGGTATCTATATTGGCATATGGCCTGATATTTGGGGACTTTATAATACTTTTCTGAAAGAAAAAAGGACATCATGTTTTACATTAGTTCTGAATTGAAGAGGAATTAGGAGGATTCCCCCAGCAAAGTACTGGATTTATTTATGTGTATAGATATAGGACAAAAAGACAAAAGATCTAAAAAATATAAAATATCAAACCAATGTATGAGTAATTGATAGGCTTTGATACCGATCAGTTTACTTTGTTTACCCCTGAAATACCCTCATGGAGTTGTTAGTACTTTTAGATTTTGAGTTAATTTAATAGGCATCCCTAAACATAATAAAGAAGGCAAAGCCAGGTATGGGAATGATGACCCATGCTTGTAATCTTAGCAGCTTGGGAGGCTGAATCAGGAGGATCTCAAGTTTAAAGCTAGCCTCAGCAATTTAGTGAGGCCCTATCTCAAAATAAAAGAGGGCTAGGGAGGTGGCTTAGTGGTTAAGCAGCCACCTTCAATCCCCAGTACCAAAAAATAAAAAATAAAAATTCAGAATGCTGGGCTGGGGATGTGGCTCAAGCAGTAGCGCGCTCGCCTGGCATGCGTGCGGCCCGGGTTCGATCCTCAGCACCACATACAAAGATGTTGTGTCCACCGAAAACTAAAAAATATTAAAATTCTCTTTATAAAAAAAAATTCAGAATGCAAAGCCCAACATTGTGCCAGGCAGTCAAAGAAAACCAGCACTGGACTCAAACTGTCTTGACTAAGTGGGGAGGGAGATGGAGACAATTAGCAAGCATTCATATTTTTTACAGTGACAGGAAGAAGCAGAGTGAAAATCATCAGGGGAGTTGAAGTCAGAGTAGGAGAAGCAGGACAGAGGGGAGGGGAGGTCCGGGCAGTCATTCCTGAGAAGGTGAAGTGGGAGCCAGGACTCCAGGAGGGGAGGTGATTGATCATCAATTCTGCAGGAATCATCTTGGTTCTAATTTTTATTTATTTTTTTGTGAATTAAGAAAGCCTGTCATCTAGAGGGCACAAAAAAATGTTAGGCTCTTTAAACCTCGCCAGTTTTTCTGTAACCAGAAGTCTTAGCTTCTTGTGTGCCCCATAAATGTTTATAAAATTATGCTCGTTTCAAAGTTGAAATAGTATACTAGTGAAGAGAGTTTGCATGATGGAACCCTTTGTTTCAGACTTCTGTACAGGATGAGTGATGAAGGCTAGAAAATTCTGTGTATTCTTACTCATGTCTCTAACTGGCTCCAGGAATCAGCTTGTGTGAAAGTGGTGGCTGCCGTGAGCATGTGGGACCTGTGCATGGAGAGGGGACACCGCGACCTGGAGCAGTTTGAGAAGGTGCATCGCTACATCAGTGATCAGCTCTTTACGAATTTTGTAAGTGGCTATATTCAGCCTATTTCTTGTAGCTGGGTCATCTCAAATGTCAGTTCATGCAACAGTTAATTCTGCCCGTGAGTTATGTTCATATTAACTTTATATTCAGAATATGACCGAGTTTGGGGGACAGGTAGGGCCTGTGTGTATTCGATGGATTTTTTTTGTGATCAAGTTAGTTTCAGAGGGCAAACTAAGAAAGGAAAATTAGGAAATTTAATCTGGCATTACTGGTAATTCTTTTTTTTTTTTTTTTTTGGTAATTCTGATTAAAAGATAATTATTTCTAAATATTCCTTTCAAGTTAAAATGTTAACAAGTAGATCTTTGGGGCTGGGGATGTGGCTCAAGCGGTAGCGCGCTCGCCTGGCATGCGTGCGGCCTGGGTTCGATCCTCAGCACCACAGACCAACAAAAGATGTTGTGTCCGCCGAGAACTAAAAAGTAAATATTAAAAATTCTCTCACTCCTCTTTAAAAAAAACAAACAAACAAACAAGTAGATCTTTATAAAGTATAAGCTATTTTCTGAAGAAAGGCCAAATTGCTTGGGAACTTCTAAACAGATGTATATGGAATTAATTGCACATCACAGGTACAAAAAAAAAAAAAGAATTGGGTGGGGGCTGGAGTTGTGGCTCAGTGATGGAGTACTTGCCTGCAATGTGTGAGGCCCTGGGTTTGATCCTCAGCACCATGTAAAAATAAAGAAATAAAATAGAATAAAAGATCCATTGACAACTGAAAAAAAGACTTGAGTGGGGTGAGTTTCTTGGAGTTCTCTGCATAGCTGAAGGAAAACAGGGAGGCACACTTGGGAAATTCACAGGTGTTCTAACAGTAAATTACTTTTAATGAGATGCTACTAAGTACCTTTTTATGTTCTTTTATCTGTTTAATACCCTACCCTCAATGTTTGTCCTTCTAAAAAGAAAAATCATTTGAAAAGAAAAAAACATATTACCAAGTAGTTATGTGAAAATTACTCTGCCCCCCCCCCCGGAAAAAAAAAAATCAAGCTGTATGAACAGCACATAACAAATGTTACCCGGTAGACTATCAGGTCTCGTTAAAAAAAAAAAAAAAAAAGTTGTAGAGAACACAATACCTTTATTTTATGTGTTTATGCAGTTCTGAGGATCAAACCCAGTCTCTCACATGTGCTAGGCAGATGCTCTACCATGAGCCACATCCCCAGCCTATCACATCTCGTTTCTAATGCAAAAATATCCACGTGCAGTTTAGCATGCATCAACTGAGGAGCTAAAGTGGGATTAGCATCCTTTGCAAAAATGCCTTGATGTTTGAGAATTATTGGTGATGTGTTTGCTGAGATTTTATGGAATCTGTTAGTGGGGCCCAGTTGCAGGTCTGCATGGGGTCAGCTTGTGTCCACTGTGGACAAAGCAGCTGGTACAGGCATGACAATGTCAGCCTCACAGGTGTTTTGGAGACTTGGAAAGAAAGGGTTCTGAACAATGTGCCTTTCTTGTCCCTACAGAAGGAGAGGACAGAGCGGCTTGTCATCTCTCCCTTGAATCAGTTACTGAGCATGTTTACAGGGCCCCACAAGTTGGTACAGAAGCGCTTTGACAAGCTTCTGGACTTCTACAACTGCACAGAACGGGCAGAGAAGTTAAAGGACAAGAAGACCCTGGAGGAGCTCCAGTCTGCCCGGAACAACTACGAGGCCCTGAATGCACAGCTGCTGGATGAGCTGCCCAAGTTCCAGCAGTATGCCCAGGGCCTCTTCACCAACTGCATCCACGGCTACGCCGAAGCCCACTGCGACTTTGTGCAGCAGGCGCTGGAACAGTTGCAGCCACTCCTTTCAGTGAGTCCCTTACCCTCTGTGGGAAAGCCATCTCTGAAGTTCTGGGGCTTTTCTGAGAGCGCACAGTGGGGTTTTTCAAAAGGTTATCCGAACTAGTGGGATTCAGTGTGACATTCAGTCCAGCCCTTCAGAATTTTTTTTTTTTTTTTTTTTTTTTAAAGAGAGAGTGAGAGAGGAGAGAGAGAGAGAGAGAGAGAATTTTTAATATTTATTTTTTAGTTCTTGGCACACACAACATCTTTGTTGGTATGTGGTGCTGAGGATCGAACCCGGGCCGCACGCATGCCAGGCGAGCGCGCTACCGCTTGAGCCACATCCCCAGCCCTTCTTCAGAAATTCTTGATCTCTTGATGGTGCCCTGAATGAAACCTGGGGCTTTTAAAACTTTCTCCACCTTGAGCAATCACTGGAAGTGCTGCCACCCAGGCGGTGATGCAGAGCACCTCCTCTCTTATGTTGTCTGCGGTTGGTAGCTCACACCGGCAAACTGCAGTAGAACTCCAGCTTCCAGTTGGTTCTAAAGAGGCTCTGTTGATCCCAGGGATCTTTCATCCCTATTCTCTCATTTCCTGTCTCATCTCTTTCCATCAACTCCAGTTACTCAAAGTTGCCGGCAGAGAGGGGAACCTGATCGCCATCTTCCATGAGGAGCACAGCAGGGTTATGCAGCAACTCCAGGTCTTCACCTTCTTCCCAGAGTCTCTCCCAGTTACCAAAAAGCCTTTTGAGAGGAAAACAACAGACCGCCAGTCAGCTCGAAAGCCCCTCCTGGGCCTGGTGAGTATGGACTGAGAGGTAGCACAGCCTTGGGGTTAAGAGTATGAACTCCAAATGGGCATAGTGGCAAACCCCTGCTATTCCAGCTACTCAGGAGGCCGAGGCAGAAGGATCACAAGTTCAAGGCCAGCTTGGGCAACTTAGTGAGACTCTGTCTCAAAATAACAATTTTAAAAAGGCTGGGGTAGCTTAGCAGTAGAGAGCTTGTCTAGCATGTGTGAGGCCCTGTATTCAATTCCTGGGATGGGGTGGGGAGAATGGAGTGTGAACTCTAGAGCTGGACCATCTGGGTTCATCAGGACGGATGCTTACTCACTGTCCTTGAGCGTGTTACTTCTGTTCTAGGCCTTAGTTCCTCATCTCTAGACATTGATGATGACTGTACCTACATCATAGGGTTCTCACATGTTAAAATGAGTTAATATACGGAAAGCACTTAGAAAATGTCTGGCATGCCGAATGAGTTGGTACACACCTGTAATCCCAGTGGCTTGGGAGGCTGAGGCAGGAGGATTATGAGTTCAAAGCCAGCCTCAGCAATTTAGCAAGGCTAAGCAACTCAGGGAGGCCCTGTCTCTAAATATAAAAACGTACTGGGAATGTGGCTTAATGGGTTCAATCCCCAGTACCAAAAAATAAAAGAAAATCCCTGACATAATAAGTTTTATGCAAGTATCATATCATCCTCCTCCTCAGTGTTGGTGGACGTGGCTGTGTCTCTATAGGTAATCAGTTTATATTGGGCATCATCTGTCACTGGCTCCATGCCTCCATTTACTTTTCCTGAGCATCAGCACTGTGCCTCCTGGTACATGATAATAGCCATCTGTAGTTTCCTCACACCTGATAAATCATGTCAAGCTTGGCTCTTAGTGAAGTATTAATACATTGATTGAAGGGTATATTCTGCTAGGCCTGCCAATTTTTGATCATGAGTTAGAAAGGTATTTTGGCCAGTTAATCATCAACTGCTTTTATAACTCAGTTCTTCCATATTTTAAACATTGGGGTAAGGAACAACAGATTATATGGGCTCATAATCTAAAAATATGCTGCTATGCCTTTGCTAATGATATTTTTGCTCTTTATAATCCCATAGATTTTTAGATTACCTTAAAAGGGAGAACCAAATTTATTATTACCTTTAGTTTTTCTTTTTATGACTGTTACTTGTTTTTTATAGATAGTAAAGTCAAGATAGAGAAACTCAATTATTTAGATGCATCTAGCAAATTATAAGACAACCCAGTGATATTACTTAGGCATTTTGATTTTTTCTTAACTACAAAGGTGCCAAAGCATTACGAAGAGGCCATGAGATTTGCCTAGTTACACGGGCTTACTCAGTTATGAAAGCATCTGATGGGGTGGTGAGCGGTTGATGGTTAGTGCCTCCCTTCTCAGACTCTGCAAGATGAAATTAAATATGGCTGCTAGGGTAATGGCCAGGCAGGGCTTCTTGTTGATGTGCCTCTTATGTTGCCTTTCAGCCAAGTTACATGCTACAATCAGAAGAACTCAAAGCCTCCCTGCTGGCAAGGTATCCCCCTGAGAAGCTCTTCCAGGCAGAACGGAACTTCAATGCTGCTCAGGACTTGGATGTCTCACTTTTGGAAGGTGACCTGGTGGGTGTGATCAAAAAGAAAGACCCCATGGGCAGTCAGAACCGCTGGCTGATTGACAATGGAGGTAAGCATTTTGGATATCAGATGAAAGGAACTAAAGTAGGAAAACAACCCGAAAAGTCCTCTTCAGCTCTGGAGAATGTTCATGTCAGATCATTACCAAAACAAAACCAACCTGTTTTGGTTCTGTTTTGACAAATTCCAGAAGAGCTTCTGGGACTTATCTTGCAAGATCTTGCCATGCTTTATATGTTGTCCACACAGTGGGGCTGCCTGGTGGAACCCCGTCGCAAGCCCCAGGATAAGCTGCCTTCTCCACTTTCTGTAAATTTGCCTTTGTGGATTGGAAACCTGTGGATTTTGTTTACTTTTTAAATTTTCTCCCTATAAACAATTTTAACTATTTAGGGAATGATTTTTAAAACAACTCAAGGGGGGTTTTCAGAATTCAAATAAGATTACAAATAATAACATTAGTCTATTATCCTTTTTCCATGATTCCAAAAATCCAAAAAGCTTTGAAAAATAGAAGTATTTTTAGTAACTTTTTGCCAAATTCTGAACAAAGCAATGTGCGACTAATTATAATCCTAGTTTAACATTGTTGCTGTGGAGAGTTTAAGCATTGTGTGCCCAAGGACAGAAGGACAGCCCCTTGTAAAAGTGAGCTTATGCTGTACGTGAGCTCTGTGTATTTGAACTCCGATGAACACCTTTCTACTGAACAATGTTCACAGTATCCCAAATCATTTTTTTTTTTTAAATGGTATTGGGGATTGAACTCAGGGGTGCTCTCTACTATATCCCCAGCCTCTTATAGTTTTTTATTTTGAGGTAGTGTTTTGTTAAGTTGCTGAGGCTGGCTTCAAACTTGTAATGAGGTCTTGTATGAGGAGCTCCTCGACACAAGGATGGTCTTCAGGTCCCTCTTTGCCACACGTAGTATTGTTGAACATACACTCTGCAGAGTCTTTTCCTTAGCCATGGTCTAGATGATCTACTAAGTTCTTTGTACACCCAGTCTCAAACATGTAGTTTTATTTTGGGGTTTTTATGTTTGGTTTTGTTTTGTTTTGTGTGTGTGTGTGTTTGGTACAGGGGTTTAACCCAGGGGCACTTAACCACAGCCACATTCCCAGTCTTTTTTTTTTTTTTTTTTTATTGCTTAGGGCCTCACTAAGTTGCTAAGGCTGGTTTTGAACTCAGTCCTCCTGCTTCAGCCTCCCAAAAGCTGCTGGATTATAGGCATGTGCCACCAAGCCCAGCATTTTTTAATTACTAGCCTCTCCATTGTCCACAGGCCTCCTATTACTCCTGTTATAAGATTGTGACAAGAATGAATTGACAGGTAGCCATAGCTTTTCATTCTATCCATGTCCCTTGGATCCTAGGATTGAATATTCTGGTCTGTTTTGTCACTAGGCATCTTATTTTGTTGCTACCATCAACCTAGCTTTTAAACCAGTTTCTCACTGTTGGTTCCCTGCTTTTTGCCTCCCTCTGCCTTCTGCTATATCTGTAGTCACCAAAGGCTTTGTGTACAGCTCCTTCTTGAGGCCGTATAATGCTCGACGCTCAGATGCCTCTGTGGGCAGCCACTCCTCCACTGAGTCAGAGCATAGTGGCTCCTCCCCCAGATTCCCACGACAGAACAGCAACAGCACCTTAACCTTCAACCCCAGCAGCATGGCCGTGTCCTTTACATCTGGGCCTTGCCCAAAGCAGCCTCAAGATGCATCTTTATTGAAGGAGTATGACCAAGGAATTCTCAGTGCATCCTTGAACCTGAGGAGTCCAGAGAGTGGCCTTTCCAGGTGCCCTTCAGATCCAGACCCCGACCCCACCTGCCAGCCCAGGCCAGGGGACTCTGTCGATGCGGCCAGAGATATAAACCAACCTGCTGCCGCCCTGAGGAGCTGCTGCCGAAGCTCAAGGCATCCAGAGGTGGTTGGTTCCTCTGTACCCGGACGAAATGGGCAAGGTAGAGACCTTGTAAAAGGATGTACACGAGCAGCCCAGGCTCTGGAAGATAGAAATGAAGAGCCGGAGAGCAGTGAGGCAAAGGGCAACCAGGTAAGTGCCCCGGCTTACCCCAGTGGGAGTGGGCACAGGAGATGTGGAGGCAGAAGCCTGCCCAGACCTGGGGGTGATCTGAGAGCCCACAGATAGATCTTACCCAGCACGCAGGAACCTCCCTGCCTTACCACTGAGCACCTTCTGTGATAGCAAAAGGGGTCCAGAGAGCGCCTGAGAACTATCTCAGGGCAGTAAAAAGGTGTCCTGATGAAACCTTTTTTCACTCTTTCAGTTCTAGCTCTTCCAGCTTACTAGTTGTTCTTATGTTGTATAAAGCTTGCTATTTAACCTAGTTTTGTTTTTTAGTTCAAAAAAAGTGTTTTATATGTAGAATTTAGAAATGAAATTCCAGCACTATTTGAGTTTCTTTTCCTATTTTTGTAATGACCTGTCCCTATCTTGTGAATTTGAGTAGAGCCTTTATTTTTTTTTTATTTTTTATTTTTTGAGAGAATTTTTTTTTTAATATTTATTTTTTAGTTTTCGGCGGACACAACATCTTTGTTTGTTGTATGTGGTGCTGAGGATCGAACCAGGGCCGCACGCATGCCAGGCTAGCGCGCTACTACTTGACCCACATCCCCAGCCCCTGAGTAGAGCCTTTATATCTTGTATTTTTTAAACGCACTTTGTTTTTAAGAAAAAAAAAAAACTGTTTTCAGATTCACAACTGGGAGATTTCTGGTTAAGTCCTTTGGTTTTCTTTGAATCTGCCCTATTCACTATGGGATCCTCCAGCCATGTATAACTATCTAAACTTAAAAATTAAGATTAAAAATTCAATTCTCCGTCTCACTGGCCACATTTAAGTGTTCAGTAGCCGAATGCAGCTACAGAAACACCCCTACCGCCCACCCCCAACATGTTCCATGGACAGCAAAGCACGCTCCATTTCTAACTCATACTCTCTCCCCGCACAGGTCTATTTTGCTGTTTACACCTTCAAGGCACGAAACCCAAATGAATTGAGTGTGTCAGCCAATCAGAGACTCAGAATCCTGGAGTTCAAAGATGTCACAGGCAATACAGAGTGGTGGTTAGCTGAAATTAACGGGAAGAAAGGCTATGTCCCATCCAACTATATCCGCAAAGCCGAGTACACCTGAGCCTGGTGTGCCTGCCGCTCAACCCTGCTGCCTTGGCTTTCAGTCTGCTGAAAGGTTCTGGTGGGCCGCCAAAAGGCACCTGCGCCCAAGACCCAGGCCCTGCCACATTGCTTAACCGTGTCATGGTAGGGCACAAGACAAGTCTTGTTCTCCTTGATTGGGTTGTAAACCTTGATGCTCACTAGAATTTCTAGAATTTGAAATGGACCCTGGGGCTTGCCAGTGATTCAGTGACCATGAGAAGAGAGGCAAGTGCAGGGGTCGGCCTTTGGAAGTGAGAAATTTCCGGTCAGAAGACCAGTGTTCTGTATATGCAGGAAGCTGTGCTGGCATCGGTTGTAACCCACTGAGTCTGGGGTGGCCCCGTGCTCCACGATCACCTGACCTGAAGCTGTGACTTGGATGAAGTAAAGCCAGGCTCGGGGAGCCCCTTTAGGTTGGGATTCTGCTGGTGGCAAGGAGCTTGTCAGGATTGCACAGAGCCTGGTGTTCTTCTGAGAGACCTCCAGTGTCTAGCACACATTTTCTCTGTCTCTCTTCATACACAAATACCCCCGATTTACTAAGCCGCTAAAACTATTTCACTGTGTTCCGAGATTGGTTATACAAAATTGGTTATACAAAACTCAACCGCTTTCTTCTACCAAGAAGTGTTTAAGGTCTTCATTTTCCTTTCATCTGAAAGTTCCTCCCTTGCTAGATGCATCTGTGTGCCGTCTTGTGGCCACCTCTCCCTGTACTGAGTAACCGATAGAATTCTCTAGAATAACGGGGTCAGAGCTCCAGTCATCCATTAAAAGTATTGGTTCTATATTAATCTCAAACCAGTCAGCCTGGTGGAAGATTAGGTGCCTTTTTCCTTCAAAATACACTACCACCATTTGGTTATATCTGCAGGTACAGAAGACAGCCCATGGGACTTAGGAGTCAGGATACACGGTCCCAGAAGTAGCTCATCCTAGATTAGTTTCACCACTAACCTCCATGCTTCAGAGACAATACTGAAAGCCAAACAGATTCCAAAGTGCCTCTCAAGACCCCCCGCCCATCCAGTCACAGGAAGATTCTTGCTAATCTCTTACCCTAAGAATCTGTCCCTAAAAATCCTGTTTTAGCAGAGCTCCTGTACTTGAGATCTTCCCTAGATATGAAGCCTAGCTTGGAATTTGAAACTGAAATTTGTTTAAGAAAAGGAATTAAAAACAGCCTTACAGCCACTACTCCTCCAACCCCACATTTGGCCTTAAAATCCTGGTGAATCAGGAGACCCCCATAGACTCCTTGGCCACAGCATCTGCTGGTGTCGGGCAGTAATGCAAGGTCTCCTGTGAAAAGTGTTTATATTTGGAGATGTCTATATTTAAGTAGTTATTTTCTAAATAAAAGCTTTTCTAATGGCCATGAGTATGTTTTCTTGATTTCCTTCTATGTTTAAGCTGAACATTTTTCTCAAATTTATCTGGTCAAATAGTTCAACAGTTTCCGTTGCTGCAGGTGGTTCCCTAAAGCCATTCTTTACTGTCAACACTAGCAGGATAGGAAAGCTGAAATCTCCAGCTGAAATCCTAAGGGATGAAATGTTTCTAATATTTCAGGTTTGGGTATACTAAATACAACAGAGATTAACAAGGTCACACAGTAGCAGTTCAGGCAAGGTTGGGGGCAGAGGAGGAGGAGTGGTAGCAGAGAGATTGAGGACAGAAGAGTGACAAAGCAATTGCCTCACTTGCTTTTCTTCCTTACAACTGGGAATTGAACCCAGGAGTCTTGTAAGCTAGACAAGCACTCCACCACTGAGCTGCATTCCCCAGCCCTTTTTATTTTTTTGAGACAGGGTCTCACTAAGTTGGCCAGGCTGACCTTAAACTTACCATCCTTCTGCCTCAGTCTCCTGAGTAACTGGGATTACACTGCTCAACATTGACATTGAGCAATAGAAAATGTGACTGCAGGAGCTGGGGACGTGGCTCAAGTGGTAGCGGCGTTTGCCTGGCATTCATGAGGCACTGGGTTTGATTCTCAGCACCACATAAAAATAAAAATAAAGATATTGTATCCACCTAAAACCAAAAAAATAAAATATATTTTAAAAAATGTGACTGCATAGGCAGACAAGGAAAGAAGCTTATAGGTCATTATAGACCATTCTTTCATTTTATAAGCTAGGAAAGTGGTTGAGGTCATTCTGAATTGCCAAAGTCACACATCAAGATTCTGGTGAGTTTAAATGTGGGTCACAGGCTCTCTGAGTCTTGACACTTAATAGCTGCCCGACTTTCGCAGTTGGCCTAACCCATGATTGTTTCCTCATCTAGTGTAGAGGTAGTAATACTGTCCACCTCAGAGGACTGTGTAAGGAATGAGTGAGTCAACACTGCAGAATGCTAGATCAGGACATCAGCAAGATGATGGATAGGATTTTCCAGCACTCATCCCCCAGGGAAATGTCAATTTCAACAATTCATCATGCATGAAATGCCTTCTTAAGAGCTAAGGAAACCAGGTTAGATGTCACAGCACCTGGGCATAGTATAGAAATAAAAGAGTAGGAAGGGCAGTTGTACCTTAACTAAACCACCCCTCTCAGCCCCAGGCAGCAAGGCATAAAGAGAGACGCCCTCTGGTGGGGGAAAGAGGGAAGCGAGTACAGCATTGCCTCAGACTTCAACCCAGTAAAACCCTACTCCAGGCAGCCCCAGCAGCCCCAGACTGCAGGCTGATATCTGCAGGTTGATACTCTAACTATTTGCAGTATAGACAATTGATAGGAGAACATCTGGAAAATACTAAACACTCAAGTTTGCTCAAGACTTCATGCCCGCCCATCTTTGTTAGAGGAATAGTAATGGCTTCTGTATCTTTTCTGAACCTGTTGGCTGGAAGCTCTGGGATATGCCATTCCCAGCTCTCCAGCTTGGGGAAAGTGTAGACAAGGGCAGGAAAATAATGAGTATGGGAAGAAGTTAAGCAGAGGACTTAAACATAGCCTCATGCTTTGTATGATATGTTCAATTGAGTCAGTCCCTCTACCTATACTCTATACTCAATTTAAAGCTTTGAGGAAGAGAAACTCAGAATACAGTCCTGCATGAAGAATGTTTTAACCAGAAGCTGGTTTTTACTAGCTGATGGTCACTCCCACAATATCCTCCTCACCCAAAGCATCCACCATCACACCGCCCTCCAGCTCTACTGATCTGCCAGAAGACTAGTAATGTGAAAGGATCAAATCAGATGGAGGAAAGCCAAAAAGATCAAGGCCTTCGTGAGCAGCACCATTCTTAACTTTTGTCCCTCTCTGGGCTTCAAAACAAACCTTTTACTTAATAAACAGCTCCCTTCAAGGCAGTGAAGAGTAGTAGAGGCCGTTACTACAAATTTCTTGAGGATGTGGAAGGAGAGGATAACCTACATGTCTTAAAGCAAAACTTCCTATAAAAATTATTGTCCTGGGCATGGTGGCACACACCGTAATCCCAGCTATTTGGGAGTCTGAGGCAGGAGGATGGAAAGTTTGAGGCCAACCTAGGCAACTTAGACCCGGTCTCAAAATACAAAATTTTAAAAGGGGCTGGCTCAGTGCTACAGCACTTGCCAAACATGTGCGAGGCCCTGGCTTCAGCCCCCAGTACCACTCAAACAACAACAAAAATCCTTCAAACATCTCTTGACCCCAAACTTCGCCTTCATCTAGCATCAGTCTGACTCTTCCTCTTACATTTTCCAATTCAAAATCCCTCTCCACTCAATTCCCTATTACCAAGCCGATTCTCTTCAGTTTCTCCCCTGTCCCCGCCCCCACCCCACCATCTCTGCTCCCATTTGTTTTTTAGGTCAATTTAGTTTTTTGTATCTACATCTGCCCCAGTTATCCCTAATAACATTGCAACAAAACAAAAACCTGATGTTCAAGCTATGCAAACTCCCTCTAAATATGAGATGGGAGTGATTACAAAGCTTTTTTTATATTCTATATGATGCCAGTGTTCCTTGATCTCAGGGAATATCCCGTGGCACACAATATCACATCCTCAAGAGATTCTGAAAACATTCTACAATCAGGATCTCAGAGGTCAAAACATCTTCCACTCAGTAAGCCAGGCAATGTGTATTATTATTATTGTATTTCACTCCTCCCAACAATGCTTTAAGATAGGTAGAAGTGACAAAATCGATGCTCAAAAGATAAGAAATGTGACCAAATTTACCCAGATAGAAATCACAAAACATAATTTAACCCCCCTACAAAAACAGTTTGAAAAACTCTCCACACATGAAAATATCTTCACAAGAACTGAAGAAACCAAGTGAGATTTTATAGCACCTGGTATAATTCAGAAATAAGAAAAAGACAATGAAGAAGATAAAAAGTCAGTTTACATTACCCACGTCACCCCTTTCCCCAGCCCCAAGCAGCACAGCATGGAGATACCTCTTCTTGGGGAAAAGAATGGGAAGTGAGCAGCAGGACTTTGCTTCCAACCACAGCACTAGCACCCATGGGCCCAGTGGAGCCCAGGTCTGCCCCTTTGGACTCAGAATAGTTCCACAGATCCCGGCTGCAGACACGTTATGCCATCAGCCCTTTGGATTTGGGTACCAGACCCATCTTAGCACCTGGACAGCCCGCACCAACTCAAGACCCACCCTAGCACCAGGTCAGGCCCTGTGGATTCAGGCTTCAGGCCAGCCCCCATGGATACAGGCTCTGGCCCTCTTGCAGACCCATGCTCCAAAGCTCCCAACATGAATACAACCAACAAGTCCACCCAGTGGATCCAGGACCCAGGCCCCAACCCACAGATCCAGGTTCTAGGGCAGGCTAACTGCTGACAGAGATCAAGCTAGACTGCCTGAGGACTCCATCAGCAAGCTTGTTCATTCACCACACCAGATGGCCTGCCCAGAAGTACTGGATGGGCTGACTGGTGAAGGGCTTTCCCAAATAAAGTCAGTCTGCAAAGACTGGGATAGATTTCTACTTCTTCAAATGTGCAGACACCAATTCATGGCCACAAAGATCAAAAACAATCAGGAACGCATGTTTTCAAAGGAAAAAGAGCATCAGTAACTTTTTTCAATTCAAAATCTCTCTACTAGTTTCCTATTGCCAAGCTGATTCGTGCATGTATAGCCTGACATAATACAAAATAACCGTTTTAAAGTAATTCAGTGAACTTCAGAAAAATCAGAAAAAAATTTTCAGGAAAATGACTAATGATTAATTTAACAGATTGAAAATTTATACACATATGTAAATATTTAAAAAATGAAAGAGGGGATTCAAGACAGCTAAACAGAGACACCCAATACTTTCTAACACTCACTTCCTCCTCCACAAAGAAGAGCCCAAATAATAGGTGTATACCTGCATTTTAGGGTAAATAACCATGGAAGAACACCAAAAATCAGGAAGAAAGAGACCAGAACCTTATAAGATTCAGAGGCTTGGGATAACGGCATACTAAGAGAAGCAAAATACCTTGGTATTTGCCATCTTGTCTCCACTACTGGGGGAGGGGAGTCTCCCCTTTGCAGGGTAAGTGTGAAAGAGAATCTGAGAAACTCTTATCAGTGTGGATGCTGGCAATCTTAGCTACTGGAGAGTTTCACCTCACCGGCCTGCAGCCCACTTAGATAAATAACCTGAAATCTGCACAGTAGCCTTGCTTTGAAAAAGAATCTTCCAGCATCTCCCAGCCAGTGAGCTGCCAGGATCATCTTAAGAAGTGAGCTACTGGGCCACTCTAGGGGTCAGAAACACTTTCACTTTCCTGTCTCTGGGATACCAGACATTCTACTGCGCTGCCTTTAGAGTTGTTGCCTCATGAGCCCAATTTGGCTCATCAGAGTGAGTGTCATCTAAGTCCACTGGGTGACCTCCATTGTAGGGAGCAGGTGTTGCAACACAGAGGAACATGGAGGGTACCCCCCCTTGAGCCAGAAGATTAGAGAGCTTGTACTCTGAGACCTGGGGTGTGGCCAGCAGCACATGGACTCATACAAGGGCCAAGACCCAAGGCAGAAACTCACACAGTTCCCACCACTTCTTCCCCTTGCACTGGTGCTCAGAGACTTGCTTCTGACAGGGCAAGGAGGGAATGCTACCGTCACTGCTGCTGCCCTGCCCACAGTGTTGTGCTGAGGGAGCCTTAAGCAACTTCATGGCTCTAGCTGTTTCCTGATCCCCAGGCACACAGAGCAAAGAGGGTCCCGAGAGGAACTTTGCCTGGCTTTGGCCAAGGTCCTGCAATCACTATCACTGATATGGCACTGCATATCCAGACCCTAACAGCCTCCACATCCAGTTTGCTAGCTTACTTCCTCCCAGGCGTGTCTTCAATTTCTGTCTGGAAACAGTTCTTCAGGTAAACTTCCATCCATGAGTCCTACAACAGG